TCCGCTCTCCTGCTCCCCACGGTTTGTCCCTTTGGACGTCCGTGACAGAATGCTTCTTCTAAAATCCTTATGAATCTTACCACACTACATAGAATGTTTATAGCATTTTCCTTTGCTTTTCCCTTGGTCTGCTATTATAATTATGGAGATTGAATTCAGTCATTTGAAATATTACCTTTTCTAAGGCCTACAGTTTGCTGTTTGCAGCTATTTACAACTTCTCTGTTGAGCAGAACAACAGCAGTGTGGCCAATGAGGTGGACAGCTGATTGTCCGGGCATGGGAAGTAGGAACAGTGGCAGCCTCAAGGGGTGGATTTTTATCTCCTACAGTATGTGTGTATCTGTATGTTATGTATTCTCACTGACTGTATGGCACTTTTTACATGAACAAGGCCGTACAATACCTGATCCAAACCTTGTCCTGCATAAGGCCCACTTATATTCATTAACCCCAAAGACTTACTCTGTCTACCATTTTGAAAAAGAAATCCCAGCAGTTACAGGACAATTCAAGCCAGAAGGCCCCAGATTCGTGAGTCTCAAACTTTGCTTGAAGCTTTTTATCGGGTGAACCTGTAATCTTTCATTCTCTGAAGGGAAATCCAACCATGAAAAACCTTCTGAGCACTGAGCATTCATCAGTGAGGGATAACAATGGTGGACAAGGAGAGTGCCAAAGCAAGGATGATTACTATAAAATCAATACACAATCAACAGGAGCAGTGACATCACAAAGGCAATAATAGATGGCAGAGATAAGACGGAATAAGGGGGTTGAGAGCTCTTTGGGAAAGTGGACAAACCGGAACCATGACTGCAGTGAACAAGGTTGAGGTGATGGGAGAGAAAAGCAGGCTGAAGTTGCTTCTCAACACATGATCTAACAGAGCCAACTGATGAGGTGTTATTGGCAGGACTGCTGTCTAAAGTGAGATATAAGATAAGACTTCTTGCATTAGGAATTTGTCTTTTCAAGTACCCCAGCTTGCTCTCTATGAGACACACAGATGGGGAGAGAGAAGCTTAAGGTCATAGCACAGGATCAGCCATTTATACAACACCCCTAGAGCACCTGGGGTTAAGGGCCTTGCTCAAGGGCCCACTGGAGTAGGATTCCTCTGCCAGCCGTAGGATTTGAACCAGCAACCTTCCAGACACAGGCACAGAGTGTCAGGGAGGGTAGGCCATGTTTCACACCAAGGGACCCCGAGAAATGAAATCAGTGGAGGATTCGGTGCAATAAATACCTTGGGTGACACATAATGACTATTCTGCATCAGCAGATCAGGAGGATTTGAATGAGGTAATTGAAGTAACAGGAAACTTGAGGAAGACCAGACTGTATAAACCTAGAGTGAAATTTAGCCAGGACCCCTACTCTCCTGAACAGCACAATGGGATCCTCATTGGTCAAGCACTCAAATGTTTATTAAGTTATATCCTGCTGCATGGTGATCCCGGATGGGGGCAGTGGTTTGGACATTCTGGTCCTGAGGGAAAAGAGCTATGGAGGGTCAGTAAAGGACTCTGCTTGAGATAAACCCTAATTCATTAGGTCTGTCTATTCTAGTATTGTGCTGAGATTACGCTTATAGAGATAGTGAAGGGTTTTTAATGGTTGCCAAGAATGAGAATTTTGGAGTTCAAATTTTGGAGCCTCTGCATTGCCTTCTCAGGAGTCAGTGGGACCCTTCCTCCCTTGCGCAGTTCCATGTAATGGGAGTGGGGCCTGGCCCAAGTGGGGGTGTGGCACCCAAAGCCATCAAAGGAGAGGAGAGAGGCTGTTGATGAAGGGGACTGAGGGAAACAGTCAGTGCTTCTAGAGAAACCCCTTCCACCAAACCCCTTTCTCCAGTGTGCTAGAAAATGGCACTTTGAGAATCAGGGCAGTGGACATACAACAACTTTCAGAATCGAATGAATACATACTTTCATTTTTAACAACCCATCTCAAAACAGGTCTACTTCTGGGTTCAGTGCCATGCCAAGGTGTGTATTGATAAACATTTTAACATTACATTTTTTCTTCTCCATAAATAATTGCTCTTTGATCCACTCTTCTAATTAAAGGGGTTCGTGCCATTCATATTTCTCTCCTAAATACAATGTTGACCTTGTTACAGATAACATTGTATGTCTCTCTCCTGCAAGATTTTCTATTGCTTTTTCCACTTCGGCAATATGACATTGCAGCCATTTCAACAAGAATTTCAGCTAAGAGGTCTGGACCTAATAGTATATTTATTGTTTAATCTCACAATTTTTGTGTTTTAAACTTTTTAAAAAACGAAAACGAAAGGAATTGCGAACACTGGGAACACATGGTCAACAGAATGATTCAAACAAAAAAGAACACTTCAAGCTTGCTTAGAAATATGCGGCCAATGTAAACTACTCACATACTGTACTTCTTGAAATGAAGCAACAATACGGTCACAAAACTGCAGTTATACACTTAGAACTACACCTCACAATTTTAGAACGATATATTACTAAACGTGATAAATGAGATTGGTTTACAGGCAAATGTAATTGCAAAATGTGAGGATTTCAAAGTAACACTTCATTCTGTTTTCTTGACGCGGAATCTCAGACGATACAGCACGCACATCTCACCGATAAGCGGAGAACCCGTGGTGTGCTGCGCGTGTGCACCTGCAAGTACTCCTGCCATTGGCTGTCTCTTTAAAAAGGTCAAATAAGTTTAGTAACAGAAGTCGTTTCTAATAAATCAGATGGAAATTGCATTTGAAACACAGTCATGCATGTGCATAAAATTACATGGATATTAAATTTATGTCACATCACTAAATGTGTAAATGAGTAAAGACTCATTTATTCTCAAAGTTACTTGCCTTCCTTTTATACCGTACTGTCCCTGTGGCACGGATTCCCGAATACTTTGCTGTAAATTCAGAATAGCACGTGTTTATGGCTCGTTTTTGGTGGCATTAAAAACAATATTTAGAATGGGTTCGAGAGTGGAGAGCTGCGTCAGCATATGAGCTGCAAAGCAACAATCCGAAGTTAATTACACTCCGCAGTGTAGAAAGAAACAAGAAATAACTTTTCGGCTCATTCGTAATATGAAGACAACCACCTAACGAAATCTTAAAAAACCGAAACATTGTGTTCCTTTCCTTTCTCTCTAATTTCAGCGTGGAATTAACCTCTGGATGTTTACATATTTAGAATTAAAACATCACAGCTGACGTACAAGTATATCAACTACTTTTAAATATTTCAAAAGATACCGCCATTTTACATTATCAGTATTTGAAAAACTCTATGAAATGCTGTGCTGAATCATGTATTCTTAACCAATGCACACGCAAAGAATGTCTTTCGCGATATTGCTTTTCATTCTCAATTTTTAAATATCAGAGAAGCCTAACAAGCTGGTAGTTCGCCTGCCCTGCTGTCTTAGCGCAAGATAGTGCTGTACACTAAATTAAACCCTAATAAAAGAGTTATTGTGTTTTTTAAGCATGTAATTATTCTGCTTTCAAGAAAACCTTATTCGTCTCCAGCACTGCTAATAGACAAAGATTAATTTATTATGTATACACTGTATAATTTTTTTTATCATAATTGAGTTGTGTTACCCCTGTAATTATACTGGAGGAAAAAGTTTAATAATATGTATATTTTCTGCAGTTTAGGACCAGAAATTCCACTTAAATCTAAATCAGTATTTAATAATAACAAGTCAATTACTGATATGTCTGTGTGTTTTGGCTCAGTGCATGTTTATATTGTATATCCTACTTGTATTTTTTTTCTAGCATTTATACAAAAACGTTCTTTTATATAGAAAAAGACCTAGATAAAAACGAAGCAAACAAGAGATCAGACCAAAAGTGATACCACCTACCACCGAAGACAGTTTCGGAGCGAATCATTGCTGCATTTTAGCCTCACACATACATTCAGATTAAATCTAGGCGAGAATGGGGCAGATTTAATTGACATGGAAGATTCAGAGGAGTCAAAAATCTAAACTACAGTTCAGCGGACCACACCGCAGAGGGAAACCAAAAACAATCAGTTCAAAACTCGTCTAGGCTGTGTGGTGTACCTGAGCGAACTGTTTCTGAAGATGTAATCGTGACTTGATTCCTATTTTCTCATGAATCTTTCATAAGGGCATCATTAGTTTTATTCGGGGACAACAGACCCAGATAGGAGCGTTAAACGGAGTGTTTCTGTGCACGTTTTGTCTTCGCATTGGAGAAAGCAGCCCCATACCCAAGCGAGAAAACGCAGTTTCTGCTTAATAAAATACATTCAAATTAGCTCCGAAATGTCAAGTTGATTTTGCAAAAAATAATGTGATGCATAACAGCAAAAGAATAATTAAGTAATGGCAATTGGATACCCGAGACCTCGAATGATTAAATGTTTTTCAAATCACTTCAATCATGAAACGGGACCAGATGGGTATGTTACCTTTTCGCTGCTGAGATGAATTAGTAGGGAAACACTCATTCCAATTATTAGGAGTCCAAAACTAACCAGCGGTCAGTAATATAAATGCCTAACCCGAAGGTTTAATATTTACAATAAGTGCATCTTATTTTTATGATTCATTCTGAGATTATTTTTCTAAACTGAAACTGCAACGAACACGTAATTTTTTCTTGAGGATTGTGGCGTTGGATTAATTACTCTTCTTAAAATATTTAAGTGGTGTATCTGCAAAATTAATGGGCGTTACTCTTGAAGAGGGCGGTGTGTTAAATTTACCACTGGCAAATGGATTGATTTATTGATTTTTTTACGTAGGCTATCTTCTTCCCACTGTCTATAGGAAAGCGAAGTCACAATGCGTGTACTGTATCACCAACGTTGTGCCACTCCGGTTTTCTCTGGGAGATTCCCAACATAAGCATTGCTAGAGTGCTTTGAACGGGTACATATGTGCAGCATCGGGCAGTGGGCGCAGTGCCTCCTTCGTTTCACACGAAGGGTGAGTTTGACCTCAACTTATATATGCTTGTTACTCCGAGAGTCAAATAGGCCGACACGTATTTTGTCATTTATATGACAGGGGGCAAGACCACACTTAAATGAAAGGAAAATCTGTTTTAAAGTATGTTGATATGAGAGGAGATTTACATACAGATTATTTACATTTAAAAACAAATTAGGTATGCCATTTGAAGATTTTTGTTCCAGAGTAAACTTTTGTCAGCGTTGTATGAACCATGGGTTAGATATAAATCTACCAAGAGAGAACTCTGATGGCATGTTTTGGAAAATCAGTAGGAGTATGTATGGATTTAGGTCATGTGGAGTACAAAACTGAAAAATGGCATAGCACTGAATGAGGAATGTTGAACAGACGGCCCTGTGTTGCTATTTTACATCATATATAAAGTAGACGTTATTAATTAACAATGTCTTAATTAAAAGAACGGTATCTCTCTTCAGCCCCTCAACCCACCACAAGTAAAATATTTTCCAGCTATTCCAACGCAAGTGTTATACAAAAACCGTCACAATCCAACACGAACATCACAGATACCGTAAACTGGAGGTAGCTCTTGTCATTGATTTGAAATCCTGTCCATATTACCACACTAGTCTGAAACCTCTTAATCAAGATAGACGGTTTTGAGGACAATGTTTAACTTTCTGTAGAAGTCATGTGTTCGCACTGCACGTGGCTCATTTAAAAATAAAAACCGAACATATAGTGAAAAGGAGCATGAATAATCGTAAAAGAAATAAACGCCAACGATGAAATGAAATGAAAACAAGAACAATAGAAAAAAAAATCTCTTCTGTACATTTAGGGTGTTAAACTTGAGGAGGAAACTTCCGTAAGAAACATAAGAGTTTATGTTGACACATCCTCTGTCCAGAACTAGACAGTTTGGGAAAGTGATTAGTTGACATTAGATTAGTTACTAGATACTGTACGACGAAGACTGAGGAGTGCGAACCGGGAGATGCAATCTGACGTTTATTCAATGCAGTAGTTAAAACGTACTTGATTTGGTTCTCGCCGTGAATGGAACACGGTTGCAATACAAACAAGAAAAACATTCTCAGTGTCACACACAGGTTAAAGGAACTGGCTATCTTCTGTTTCTAGCAGAGGCAGTAAAAGAGAGACTTGAGTAAAATCGTGAAGGGTCTTGAGAAAATTAACTCAATAGCCTTCTTTATATTCAACAGAAACAATACATACGCGCTTTAAATTGATTAGAAAGTATTCCTAAATAAAAACGTCGTCATCATCATCTTTACTGTTGTTGTTATGTTATGCAAGGACACAACAGGAAGCTACAAGACTGTCGCATATCTGGGACAAACTGTCAAGCAACGATTTTGAAGTTGATTTCCTGGAAACCTGAAAACAAACAAAAAAAAAACGCTTGGGTGAGACGCTCGAACAAATCATCTATTTACAACCAAATAAGAGAGGTCGTCCATTATTATTAGCATACAGCCCAATTAAGAGTAACCATTATTATTGCAAATTATTATGACAGAGGCTTCAACATTCTGGAGATTTAGTAGTAGGGTTTTTGGTGTAGTGGTTCTGTATGGGACTTCTCCCTTTCATCTCACGGATAGTAACAGGTCAGCAGAACTTGTTTTAACACAATCTTAATTTTCTACATACATGGCTGTCAAACATCTCTTTCCAAAATGTGTTACTGTCGCTTCAGGGTAAACAAACGACGACTTGTTTGCGATAGAAACATATTTATGGGCTAAGGACGTTTATTTAAGGACGGTTTATTGTGATTTAAACTTTAATCATTCCTCTTTGTTGTGCACTGGAAACATAAGGGACCTTCGTTGGCTTTCGAATACGTACAGTAATTGCGCAGGCAACCAGAGAGTTCCAGCTTCGGTAAATTAATTTTATATTTTAAATGGTCACAGGGACGTGTTACTTCAGGTCCAGCCTTTTCCCTGTTATACTCGGTAATATTGCACGACTGCCATTCTTGCTTATAAATTTCCTTCTCTTTTTTTTTTTCCCACGGGAGGTGACAGACGGCCAGTAATGTGGTTGTCTTGGCTCGTCTGGAGTAACACCTGCCCCCTCTCTGGGGAGAGCACGTTTCATCCAAAGGGGAAGAGTAGCAGACACACGCATACCGAAATCACTCATTCACAGTGACCATCATTTCCATGCCTTTCGACAAAAAGATATTCACCCGTACGCGCCGGAATAACTTCTGAGTACTTGATTTTCACACCCTTTGTAATTATTTAAACGAGATGAAACGCATCCCATTTAAAAAAACAGCCGTCAATAACCGGAAAACCTATATCTTTTTTTCATAAATCCATTGCCGTGCAAGACACCTATCATAGGAAAAAAATTCAGTTATACAGTATTTGAATTTAGTATTTTTAACGACTGTAAATCCAGTAAACTAAAGTTACAAAATTGAATTAAAGTAGTTCCACAGATCTGGCTATAGGACGCAGCCCTGGACTCGATTTAACTCTTTAATCTGCGAGATTGGTATTGCAGTACAGCTTGTTTAAAATATAAATCTAAAAGTATCTGAAAGCACGTGTTTCATAGTTATCTCAAAACTACAGTATATGATACAATTGACAACAACAACAACAACAATAAGGAAAAGGAATCAGAAAAAGGATACTCTAAGCACTGAATCACAAATAATTTGTTTTAATTAAACTGTCATAAGTGAATTAAGATTTTGCCTGTATTTCTAAAACGAATGAATGAGGCTGTAACCTCTTAAAACTGTCAGATTGACTGAAGAGCGAATTGTATATTTTGTCTTCCCTGCATGCCATGTGTGGATTAGACCATCTCTCTGTAGTAACTGTAAAAGGACGATAGCTTATTAAGATACAGAAATTAATACAAAAAACAGACAATTACTTTTTTAGATATTTATTTTCAAAACAGCTCACCATTAAGATATGAAAAACTGTGTTCGTTAGAAACCAGCTTATTATAGCTACTTCACTACAAAATATGTGCTATAAAGCAACGAAGACACGATAAAAACCCTGAAAGACAAAAATCTTTGGATAGCAGATATGTCGTTTTTCCTCACTATAAAATCAGTTATTGTATTAAAGAGGTTCACAGCAGAGACACTCACACGTAATTAAAAACAAACTAAAAAAACAACCCACAGACTTAATCGAAAATTCCTATTTTTGGTCGCAGCAAAGGAAAGGCAACCTGGAATTTAACCTTGGTCGAGGGAGCTATATCCCAAGACTTTCAAAACTGAACTGAAAGCTCCAGCCGTGTTTGTCGGACTCATAAGATCCAAATCTCAGTCTTGTGCATGACAATTGTGAATGGAGAAAGACTTCATTTTTATTGCCTTTTGGGACCAATGAGTTTTGTGTAATATTAAATTCCAAGCAGCCATCCCCTTAAGACGTTTTTCAGAAAAAAAGCTACGTTTAAACAATGTTGATATCAACAAGTTATCTAAGGGTTCTACCCAGATAGAAGTGCTTATCGTTGCCATGGACAGATGAAAACCCCAAAAAAACATTGACATACGATTCAATTTACAACATACTTTCAACATAAAAATAACCACTGACAAGTGCAATAGGAGAGCAAAAATATCACTTTTATACTCCAAAAACACAGACTAAAATATAGATAATTATACATACACATTTAAATGTAAACAACGGGTCATACAAAAGACACGGACTGTAAAAAAATAAAATAAAAACAGCAATATAAATAAATAATATAAATCTAGAAGCAAAGATAATAAATAAATATTAAGGTCACAATTCTGATGTATTTTAAGAAGAAGTGGCACTTAAATATTTTCATTTATTTTTCCTCTTTTAGGAAATCGTAACTACATATTATTAAGCAGCTATTTCCCCTCTTTCGTCTAAATCGTGTCCATCTTTTGAAATTTACCACTCCGAATGGACTTTTCGTAACTAAAGTCAAAAACGTTACAAATATCTGGGACAAGTTCTAGATGAATTTGTGAAAGAATGTATCCAAGACCCTGTCTAGAGATCTTTCGTATCCCCTAAATTATTGCATTCTTGTTTCGCTAGTTTAACAACAGATTGTGTTTACAGGTATCGGTTCTTTTTCATATACCGGGAAATTCTGCTTTTGCTTTGCCGGAGAATTTGGGCTTGGAGTCGACAACAGCAGCGCGCCTTCCTTTCTAATTTCTCTGTAAACACTGCCGCTGTTTCTTAAACGAAAATACTGAAGTTACAATACCGGTGAAGTTGTTCTTTTCTTCCACATTTCCATCCCGCGGGAGCCAAATGTACTTTGATTTTTCTTTCTTCTTCGTATTCCGCTTTTTCAAAAGTAAAATTCATAAAGTCACTAAACGTCCAGTACATGGTTCAGATAAGAGATGTAGCAAATGGCTAACCTTAGAATTTCAATCTTGGACAGCTTCTTATCCGGGGGCAGTGTGGGGAGTAACTTTCTCAGTTCAGCAAAAGCCACGTTAAAAGCTTCGACCCGGATCCTCTCTCTTGTGGCGTGTGCCGAGCGGTACTTTGCTGTCGCTCGCCGCCTCCTGCGCTTCTCCTCCCGGCTTAAGGTTTGGGGGGCCAGCGCTCTAGTCTTTCCGTCCCCTTCTCCGGGCTCGTCGGAAACGCACCCGACTTTCATATCGTTTAGTACCGATTCAGCATCGGACTGAGCCCACGGATGGTCGGAGTCGGGTTGGTCAGGGCTCAGCATCATCTTCAGTTTTCTTTTGCTTTATAGTGAGAAAGAATAACTGAAAGGAAAAAAAAAACATTTTATTGAATACAGCCCAAGGCTCACATGCGCCTGGCAGCTCATATTGCAATTTATGACGTGCTTCCTTTATTGTGAAACAACTGGAATAGCAGATGTCTGTTTCATATAGGCCTATCTTATAAACTGATGCGGATAGGCAATATCAGCCCAGAGACTGAAACATAGCGTCAAATTCGTTCAATAAGACAGTGGAAGTGTTCTCGAACTCAGGGCCCAGATCAATGCAATCATATGATATCATAATATCACACAAAGGCTACGTAAATTTAGATTTGCAACTGTTAATACCCGCGTTGATAACAAGCTACACGTATTTCTTTTATTTAAGAAAAATGATATTTAGATTAACAAATTATGAAAAATGTGTTTTAGATTATTATTGGATGACATAACATGTAATGCATTTTTCAATTAAGCATTTTATACCCATACTCCTTTCGGCAACACAACAGCTATTGGTAAAGCCAATATTTACTAACATCATGCTAGAACAGGTTTGAATAGAAATGTCAACATCACTACTTTAATGTAATTTAGCAAATGAAAAATACGAGGGAGAGCGACGTGAGAGGGATGTTTCAAATGCGAAAATGTACTTTGCGAACACAGCAACCGACCTCTCAGTTTATACAGAAAACGAAAAAAAAAATAGCTTTAAAAACTCTCGGGTTTTTCACGCCAAACAAGTCAAAAGAAGCAAAATAACCGAATGCGTAGATAAAGCGATAGGCTAAGGATATTTACTTTTGCACTGCAAAAAGTGTTTTATGGAATCCAACTAAATTTAGACGTAGTGATATGTCACTATAAATACCCCTATGGAATAGTGGCTTTTATTATTTTCAGAAACCCATAAAAAACTAAATAATGAATGCATACTGATAATGCCACCATCTGTCACACGCGAGATGAACAAATCTAGCAGGCTCCCAGTCTGACACCACAGCTCTCATCACGAAAATATGCGACTAGAAAATACAAAAGACATGCCCGAGATCAATCTGTTGCACTGAGCAATAGTGCGAAAACAAAGAAACCTGGCTATCACGACTTAAGGCGATGTAGCTAACAATTACACCCGATTATATATCTGGATTCTAAAATTATAAATCAAAGTTTAATGCCAAAGGAATTACATCTGAGGGCGTCATCAAACATTCTATTTTGTTTAACTTTTCCAGGATATATTTTACGCAATTATTTAGCATTTTGTCACTGACATAAAGACAATATATAACTTAAAAGAAATCTCCAACAAATTTCGTCATTAAAGACATTACATTCTGCTGCAATTGCTGAACACATTGAACTTACCTTCTTACACTTTTGAACAACTTTTAAAATTGTAGGTCCTTGATGTTTCTCTGTAAGGGTATTCCCACAACAGGGTTGAAAATCAGCAGAAGGACTTGCTTTGGTTTCTGTTACAATAAAACATCATCTCCCATCCTGGGCATCGCCTTTCGTCAATCGCTGCAAAATTAAAACTACAATTTAAGGCCTAAAACGGTAATATTGCTTTATCTTAAACCCGAACTGTTGATTTTATTCTGAATGCACGTATGTGTTCCTAAATATTTTTGACATGTAACAAAGGGGGTCTCCTCTAATCTGAAAGCTGCAACTGACTCTGTGTTTGAAGATAACAATCTTGCCCAAGTGGTGGCTCTTGTCTTGTGACCCCAAACAATAGAGATGGCTGTGCTGATAAGGTCTGGGGAAAGTGCCGAGATTTCTTCCCGTCTTCTGGCGAAAAATAGTCATCAACGACGCGGAACCAAAGGCACCTCTGCAGTAGAAACGGAAAAAAAAATCCCTCCTGTGCTGTCGAGCTCGGTTTGTAGAAGGTATGAGACAGGAGATTAAAATGATGCTCCTTATTAAGCGATGCTGGAGTGACGGTGCACCGGAATAATTTTGTGGAATCGTATTGTCTCTCTCTCTTCCACCCTTGTTTCCCCCACCCCTCCCTCTCGGCACCAATGGAGTGAGCCCAGAGATGGTGTAACTGATAAGGACTGTGAAGGGGATGGATTTTTTTAATAAATTGGTATTTAATGAGAAATCCTATTGGGTAGAAAGGGCTGGACACAGATAGTCTCTTAATTGGGTCTGACATCTGTCACAGTGTGAGACTTTCCTCAATCCAGAACATTTAATCGTATTCCCACTTCCCATAGAAAACACAGACATGTTCATGATAATAATACGAATAACACCAATATTATCGTTTCGACGCTGCCCGACTGATCAGTGAGGGCACTGTTTAATTGAGTAAAACCTTAATTGACTTAGGCCTAGGATACCACTATTACGCTTCATATACAGCTACAATATACATTTTAAACTTCAAACATTAAACTCCATTGTTTCATTGTCGCCGCGAAGAAAACATCATTGAATTCTGTGCCCAATTTGCTAACGTTACTCTTAGGACTACAGCAGGAAGTAACTTTCTCACATCGCCTTTCTTTTAAAAGACCACCATTCTGGAGTGTTACAATTGGTAGCCGCCTAAGCTGTAAAGGCGGGGGAATTAAGAAGCGAAAGGCGAGAAAAAGGTTAAACCTCTGGTTGGTACGCAAAACACAGAGCAGCTGAAAAGCGGAACTGCGAGGCCGTGAGAATTAAAAAAGGGAAAGTTGTTGAGTGGGAGCTGGTGGTTGGGATCAAGGCTTGAGACTACATGTGAAAGCCCAAGATTTAGAGAGTGGTGCGAAAGGACCACTCAGCTCAGCCCGGTCTCACCTGTGCCCAGTGATAGATACCTCCTGCGGCGCAGCAATAGGTGGGGATTCGGACTGGCCGCAGAGTTGAAGAGTGCCTTGAGAGTCCGCTTATTGCTTATTGCAGTAGTCCACGGAACAAGCTGAACCAGTATCTCGCCAAGATGGGATCACCATCATTTTCTTGAAACCCTGAAGTTAAGAAAGAATGGTCTAGACATGCACAGCACACATATAACCCTTAAACTCTCCGACGCTCATCAATTCGAAATATATCTTTTTATGTTAATCGATATTCTTTTAAAAAGTGTGGATAACAGCGACCTTGCATCAAGTCCTTCATGAGTAAAGGCTTATGTCGAGACATTGCAGAGTCAAAAGCAGGAACAGAAACACGTAAGTGCAGTTTATTTTCCAGTTTTCTTCTCAGAATAATATCAATCAAATGGGCAGTACTCATCATCATTAGTGCTGGACACAATGAACATCTTGCTTCAACTGGCAACCAATTGCTAGGTGTACCGAATTGCCTTCTCTTGTTTATATGAACCTTCCCTTAGTTATGTTATAAAATATAAATATCCGATTCAGAAAGTGCGATTTATCTGAAATTACGACGATTTTCAAGTTCAACGTTTTTTTTTTTATTTTACAGCATGTCGAAAGCAGAGAATTTATGACGCAACATAGGAAAAACACTTCAAAAGCCGCATTCATAATTTCACGGTTCAGGAGTGTGGAAATAAGAAAAATAATATATAATCGTTTCTTAATTGCAGCAATTTATTGACACCGATCCGCTCTTCCTCTATGTGGCGTCAGGAGAGTAACAAGGGATTGAAACAAGGCTAAAGCTCAGCCGCAGATCTCCTATGGGTGAGCTGAGCAGACAACTACCGGGCCGTGACATGACTGCGCACTGAGAAAATCCTACTTTCTTCTCCATTTTTACGAGCACCTCTTTTTGGAGAGCGCAATCTCAACACGCCTAAGAAAGAAAACAGAAGGAACTGATATCAAATTTAGAAAATAATAGAGGAATAGAACCGCAAACAGGTAAATCAGCAGGGTTAAAAAAAGCCTTGCGAGACCCTTGCGTGTCATTAACTAGCGACTCAACTGAAAGCCACAAAAATCAATGACGTTTACATTAAACAATTTCGTTTGAGATGACAATTTCTTTCGAATCTGAACTCGTGCAAAAGTTTAAAAAGTAGAATGGAAAGGATGCAACAACGCTAATAATATTCAAGAAGGAGTCAAAGTCATTAAGTTTCACAGCGGGAGAACTGATAAAATATTAGTTGTAGCCTAATGAAGTCTCATAGATTGTCCGTTTTCTTTTCCAAAAATGAATTTTCAAAGTCTGCTGTGCATTACATAATTTTACTATAGGTCTCCACATCTGTATCTACGTATGAGCTAAAATGCGTCGTATTATTTGTATCATTTCAACTATCCTTCCTCCAGTAAATAACGGTCAAACATATGACGCTAGCTCACCAGTCAAAGTTTCTCCACTGCCTGGGTTTTTTTTTCTTATTTTAATTTCAAATATAATATTTCGGATTTTTGTACACAACATTTGTCTAGCGCGAATTAACCACAGAGAAATCCACTCTGGGCCAAATTGAGAAACTACAATGCGAGTTAAACAGGCTCTTGGATTAATGATCAGCTTCAACTGTGAGCTACGCTTGAGGGATTGATGATGCAGCACACTCAGCAGCTTTGATGTTCCGCTAAAGGCGGCTTAGTGTATTTAACAATTGTCAGGGTTTCATTTTTAAGAGATGTTAGTACCAACAGAAACGGATTCGTCATAGGGTACATTCAAAGCCTGGTGATGGTCTTTTAACAGACCCTGAAAACGGAAGAACGCCAACGATACATGGCCACCGCCGGAGCTGGCTCCCTCATTTCTATGGATGAGGTAACTATTGATCTCAGCATAGTGAGTTCTGACGTTTACAGCAACATCCTGTCTGCTTATGTAAAAGAAAATGTTTAATAGTACCTAATAGATGTCGCTTCATCTTGCAGCATGACAACTGCTCAAAACACAACCAAAGCCATCAAGGATTTCATCAGGGGAAGAAAGGAGAAAAATCTTAAGACTGTCCACGTTAGTCTCTGATTTAAAATCCAAATGAGCAGCATTTTACACGCTGAAGAAAAACTTGAAATCAGAACACTCCCAACTATCAAAGAAATCTCACACAGCAAAGTTCACGTAAAGATTTCAGAATGATGGCACAAAGACTTTGGTGAGGTGATTACATCACAGATTCCATGTAATGATTGCCTCAAAGGGATATCTAACCAAATACTGACTTTAACAATCAGAATTCCATTTTAAGTGAATTTGTCCCAATACTTACAGTTACGCCAAACCACTGGGTTGAACAAAAAATTTGTTTTGTTTTAATATAATGAAATTTATGCATGAAATTAGCCTAAAATTAAATGTATAATGTATTGTACTTACTGTATATTTTGTATTAACATCATGTTGACAAGTACAAATTGCTTTACAGTAATGGAAAAATATAAGCTTTTACTTTACTGTCACACCATTGTTGAAGGGTACTGTATGTGTAAATGTAGGCCTACATATATACACACATTAACTCACCTTATTATATACAAACACAACAATTAAGGTACGGTCATTTAAAGCATAGTGTTTATATTGGCCCAGTGAGTTCCAACTCAACCAAAACTGGTCTGTCATTGCAATGGTTTGAGTGCTTGTCTGTATAAGGTAGCTGGTCACCTGGAGAGTGGTTAACATTATGGACACATATAGAGAAAAAGAAGTCAATGCAATAAACAATTAATCAATTTTCTAACTGCTTTATCCAATACAGATGGGATAAACAGGACCCTAGTCCATCAGAGAGCACACAAATACATGCACACACGCAAACCACTGTGCCAGTTTTGCCAATAGCCAAATAACCTACTAGTATGTCTTAGGACTATGGAGAAAACCTAGGGAGAACATGCAAACTCCATACAGTTAACCCTCCAAGGAGACCAGCAAATTCACTGCACCACTGTGCTGCCCAACTAAATACAAATGATAAATAAATGATTGGTAATTCTTATAAATTATATTCTAAATGGATTACTTTTCAAATAAAAAAATCCTAACTGCTTGAATTCCAATTTCTGTGTGACACATACTGTACTTAAGCATCAGCAGTCATAACTTGAAGTCTTAGTTCCTATTATTACAGAAAAAAAAACAGTTCAGAAACAGGCATCAATGTACTTTTTCAGGTAAAGGATCAGTTGGTAATAAAGCTGACTGATCTTCATGTCAGACATTTGCAGAAAGGCATATGAGGGGAAACAAGATCCAACTGTTCAAGGGTAAGGGCTTTTTCACCTTGTTTGGCACAAGCCCACTGAGCTGCATGTCATCAGTCTGTTTTAATAGGCTGGATATGCTAACTCATTGACAGCTTGGCAAGCAGATGGTTAACAGGAAAAGTGACAGATTTCTATTGTATGGAAAAACAAAAATAAGGAAACATGAAGAAATCTACTCTCTGATATGATGCGTTCGGAGTTCTAGAGCTTAAATAACACAAAGATGCAAATATGTCTGTTGGCTGAGGATGCAATCTGCACATACTCAGTCACCAGCTGTGATCCTTCAGCTGCCCTGTGCCAGAAAGAGGGCATCAGCTCTGCTGGGATCTGGCCACTCAATGGACACTGACGTCTTGGAGCATGTGTGAGTTATGTTATGAACTAATGTGAGCAACAGTGTCTGGTTACTGGGACTCCCTTGTGCAGAATATGTGCCAGAATGGGCTGTAATTCCATGAACTGAGATTGCTGATTTCGTACACACAATAAATAAGTGCATTCCTGCTTTGACTGAGGTGGTATGTACAGTAGAGTTACAGAGTTTATGAGATCTTTTGTCACATATGAGATTCATAAACAGGTGTTCTTTCAAATTATTGCATGTTTTTATGGCGTTTTCAGAATTTTCTCGCTATATCTATCCATACCTTTGTCTATTTGTACATATCCATTTATCTTAAAAAATATCCATGTTTTTTCATTTGCTTAACGTGCCACTGTGAAAGGAGTCTGCGGATGTTCATAAATGTTACCACTAGGGGGACGGGAAACCATTTTATTCACTACTATAAATCGGCTTCACAAATGTTGTGAAATGCTGAAGAGAAATGTTCTGTTTGTAGGCACGTCTGCAGGCAAACTGACACACCTGACAGCTCTGTAAGGTTACAATAAAAACTGCAATACTAATTGCATGAGAAGGGCCTCCCATAGGGCAAAAACTCTTAAATCTGGGAACGTGCTTCACATGATCCTTTTAGTATGCCTGGTTAAATCTGCTAGCATATGCGTTATAGCTTTGGCATTATAAACCTTCAAAAGCATGAAGCATCTGCACATTTAACCTTGTCTAGATGAGCAAGAGAGATGTATTATCACTTCTGATGCCTCTTTGCAGACATCCAATAAGGAATTTGAAAATGGAACATATGCAAATTAAAATAATCCATAATTTATAGTACAGTAGGTCCAATTGCACTTATTCTCTAAGTCCCACCTAACTAAATCACACTATATCTGGCTTTCTGCATCAAGCTATTCCCAGCACAACATTGTCATTTTGGAGGGGATCCAATCTGGAGCTAGCTTTCAGTGACTGTGCACACAGTGATCCAAAATCAATTTAAAGGCCATGTGCAACAGACCTGAGATGCTTACCTGGGGAGTCCTAACAGAACGTCTTTATTGGCAGGGTGTCCCGCACGTGCCAGACTGTCCTTCTGTTATTTGTGACAAGACGTAGGCAGAGCAGGCTTAAAATGTTGGTACAAACATGTTAATTGCACATGGGCTTATTCTAAATGTGCCTTCTGTACTGACAATGCCATAGAAATAGGCAGTTGCTTAATTAATAAACCAGATAATGCCGTGTTTCCTGTAGTCTATGGCTGTGGCCCCCCTAATATTATCCGTAGTGCACAAATTCACCTGTAGTGCACCTGTATTGCTCTCCTATCTCTGCAAATTAGAAAATAAATCCATATTTATACTGAAATATGTTCTACTCCAAAGCCCGGGAGATGGTAGAGTAAGCTTTGCAGGATATGCATTAGTGAGTAGATGCCTTTTTATCGATTTGGCAGTGCATGCCGGAATATTAGAAAATGAGAAAAATCTATTTCAGTGGATTTGCATATTTTAATATTGTGACATATGCTTTATTTCGCAACTAGGATTCAAATGTTTCCTTTTTCGTGTGAGTCTGCAAAAGTAATGTGTGTTACAGCCCTGTCAGTTTTCAGGGACGAGATGTGCACTCTCATGCAGATTTCTTTACTAGTGTTTAATAAATACTGGTGATGTGAGGAAGTTTGCAGGGAAACTATCATTATGTCAGGGGGAAAAATTAGGTACTGTACTTGCTGAATTGAAGTGTTACTTTATTGCACACTGGCTTACAGTCTGTACTTCATCATCTGTTTCAGTCCCAAAAAGCGAGATTCCCAGAGTTCACTCAATCCCTTCTTTTCACACTGAGTAAAATATTGTGACATTTAAATCCCTTAAAACTGCTTTCTTGTAACAGGCTTTATTTCTTTTCAACTGGGAAAACATATTTAATCCCAATTATAAATGGGGAGTTTAAAGTATGGATCTTCTTTCACTCTTAGTCACTCTTTCTATTCTCTCCAACTGTCACTCGCACACAATTGAATCCTTGTTTTATTTTTGTAACACCACTCTTCAAACACAAGCCTCACAAATCTTGACCCTACAATACATTGGACTGCGGACAAATGAAGCACCCAAGTGATGTTTGTTCCTACCTGACTCGCACAGTGAAGGGACTCATAAACCAGTCGAGCTGATGTAAAGGTGAAACCTGCAGGGAATCTGTGTCTCAACCCTTCCAGACCATCGCACATGTGTGGCTCACAGAGTTCACAACAGGCAAAGGAGTTGTGTGTGGCTTTTCTGGGGGGAACACTGCACCCAGTAGAACAGACACATCACAGAGAACAGTGACATCTCTGCTATATCTCTGCTATATCTGTTACCTTCCTTGGCTGTCTACAGATGTGAAACACTCTTGTCTCCTACAAAAGCATCCTGATATCCTTCGTATCAGAGATGCACAGCTCCAGGCTGTCAGCCTATACATGTCTCTTTAAGTATCAGCAAGTTCAAATCTGAGCATAGGGTTATATTGGTTTAATTAAGTAAGTACATGGGAGTTTTAATTAATAAGATAACGAGCTCCCATGGTAATGCCTTCATTCATACACAGCTACAGGCGTAAGCAGTAATAAATCTAAGGTGCACAGCTCTTCTCCTCATAGTCTGCAAACATGTTTAGGCATGTATCTGACTGTGACACCAATGCACAATTCCAGCATAACAGAAATTTGTGTCAATCTACCGTGGCCAAGAACTGTTTCTGGGACATGACATAAAGTCTGTACACCTCTGTCCATCATATCGAAAATCAAATCGCATGCTTCAGGGTTTGTTCACGTTTGCACAGTGCCAGCCACCTCACTCCAGAATAGGAGAAGGTCTGCAAATGAGTGCTACTTCTGAGGTGCCTTCTGTTAGTTTGAAATACATTTCTATTTAAATGATTGCCTTGTGAGGATGCTATTGCATGCTCCTGTGTGCTTGTAATGAATTATTACAGAACTCTTTCATATTCAAACTCTTAGCTCATTTTCAGCTATGAGAGGTCATGAGACTTTCTTTATTGAAACATCCTCATAATGAGTTCAATATTGCTATTATCAGGTTAGGTGAAATTATGACTTGAGATGACAGAAGGACTTTGAGGAGTGGACTCCTGGTTTAGAGACTCCCGAGAAGATATAAGCACTTTTCCCAAACCTCAAACCAGTCAGCTTTTCAACCTCAACAACAGAAGTGCAATAATATCCTCATTGGAAATTGTATCATCCAGAGACATCGTCATAGTTTTGGATGTACATTTCTCTGTATTCGAGAGAACTATAATTCATTATGGCTCACATTTAGTGAGTCCATTTAATTCTCATATGACAATTTAATATCAATCTTTTTTATCTTCCACTGAATAATTCTGATATAAATCCACCCATCCATCTTTTTTGTTCTTCTCGCTTCTGAATTTTAAATTAATCTCCTGCTCTCCACAAAATTCAAAGTAAATAAAAATAAAATAGCATATGGCAACATAAAGAAATCCCCTGTGAGTCTGACTGGATATTGTTTGTCCTGAGAATATTCGAACCTGGGGGTCAATGGGTGTACTATCGGAATTGAGCACAATGGCGAGCTGTACACCGTGTATGATGGCCAGCTGGCCCATACAGCAGGAG